ATTAGGTAAGAATGAAAGCATGTTTGAACTAAGGTTCAGGTGGCACAGCTTCTCGAGAACTGAGATGTTGCCCCAAGGGAAATAACTCAGCACATTGAAGTCCATTCTCAGCATCTGGAGGCTCGGAGGCAAGTTTACAATTACCTCTGGGGGGAATGATTTGAGCTGATTTTCAGAAATGTCTAAGTGTGTAAGGTTAGTAAGACCCTGAAAGAAATGTAGGTATTGGTTACGCCTAGAGTCCCACATTATGTCCAAACGATTTCCAGAGAAATCAAGATACTTCAAAGAAGTACTAGTAAGAATGTTAGAGATTCTGAGACCAATGTGATTGTTCGCTAGACTCAGTATTTTAAGAGATGGTAAGTGTGGAAGGAATGTGAAGCGATGTCCCATACCCTTCATTACAAAGTGGAATTCGTTGTTGCTGAGGTCAAGAGCTTTTAGTGTGCCACTTATCTCCTGGAAGGCCTTGTCAGAGTACAGGTCAATGCGATTGTGAGCCATATTAAGGTAGGCTAATTTGCTTAGAAGTGTGAACTGCTGGCCATTTAAAGTTTGACTTATGTAGTTGTAAGACAGATCTATGCATACCACTTTTTCCATGCCTCTAAAAGTACTTGCATTCAGCCATGGGATGTTGTTTTGAGAGAGGTCAAAAAACTGGTTTTTAGAGCAGATCTGCTTTTTGAAATGCCACATAGAATAATAAAAAAAACAGTGATCTTCTCCAGAGTCCTGCATAGTGTTCTGCTCTGAGCTCGGTAGGGGGACTTTTTGAGATTGAAAGTTGGGCTGTCCATTGTCACGTTTTTCAAGGGTTTGGTAGTTATTTGGTATGGCTTCAGCAGTGCAGGTTGAAAAGCATGAACTGAAAGCAAGCATGTTTTGGGAAAGGCCCACCCACCTTAATGTTCTCAGCTGACTTATAGCATCCATGCTAACAGAGCAGATGAAGTTCATGCGTAGCTCCAGGGACTCAAGTCTTGGCAGTTTGACCAGAGGTGCAAGGCTGTGGTTTGACAGTACTCTGGAGAATAGGCCACTAAGGTACAACTCTCGTAGAGCCATCATCTTCTCTATGGATGGTGACAGAATTAATTCAGAAAAGGATTTCTGGGGTTCATAGTTATAAAGAAGACTGAGGGACACAACATTCTGGAGCTCTTCATAAAAGGTGCCGTTCTGGATGGCGTAGGCTAAAAAGTTGTCGGATAGATCTAACTCTTGGAGCTTGTGGAGTCGTACGAAGAGATGCTGAGGAATTGTATGCAGTGAATTGCCTCGCAGACTTAGACTAATTAGAGAGTCCCTTTGATCCAAAAATGCATCCTGGTGCAGATTCAGAGACTGGTTGTTTGGACATGGGAAGCAAGGCTCAGAAGCATGGTCACACCTTTGGCAATTCCACCCTAGGTTAAGGTGTCGCAGATGTTTAAGATTTGCAAAGGACTCTTTATTGATATGTGTGATCTTGTTCTCTCCCAAGTCTAGGCTTTCTAGTGAAAGTGGAAGATATGGGGGAACAATGGTCACATTGTTGTAACTAAGTGTTAGGTTCAAAAGCTCAGGGATATCTTGAAACACACGTGGGTCGATAAAGTAAGACTGATAACATGGGTTGGCATAGAAACAATTCTTGTTTAGCAGTAGTTGTTTTAGTAGCGGTGTACCTAGAGGCTTAACAATATGAAAGATGTGATTAAATTCCAGTCCCAGAATCTCAAGTTGCTTTGGTAGAGGAGGAATGGTGTTCAAGCTGTTCCCTGCTAACTGCAGGGAAGTTAGGTTTTTAAGTCCGCTAAATGCATTAGGATCGACTTTCAGGCTGCATGAAGGCCATCTCTGCTCCTTAAGATGATCTGGTACGCAGTTCCACATCAAGCTGAGATGCTTGAGATTAGCTAATCCAGAAAATGTGGCACCTTTAATGTGGTGTATATGGTTTCCATTTAAGTTGAGTGATATAACAGAGAGGGATGTGAATTTAGGGATGTTAGCAAGACGTCGGCGCTGACAGTCCACATTTATGTGTCCATCCTTGGTAGTTTGAATTTCACATGGATAGAATTCAGGATGTAAAGTTGCAAAAAGATGAAACTGATTCAGCATGAGAGCCAGATACAACATGTGTCCAAACATGGCCTAGAGACAAGAGAACAAGAACAAACAAATAATCAGCTATGCAAGTTAAATGGCATTTACTTTTTAATATGCTATATTCTCAAACCTTTGAAAACTTCAAAGTACATTACATGGGCTCAGTGGTGTAATGTAATGAAGTAATAATACTTTGTTACAGTACTTAAGTATTTTGGGAGTGTCTGTACTTTACTTGAGTTTTTATATTTCAGCCAACTTTAATACTACTTTTACTCCACTAAATTTCCTAATTAAAATGTATACTACTTTTACGCCGATACATTTCCCCGAAGCATATTCGTTACTTACTACAAAATAGTCAGAAGTCAGAAGAACACAGACTGCAGGAAAGCAGGTTTGACGAATCAGTGGTCTGGTGTTTGCAAGTTAGACTCCTAAAAAACACCTTTGCTCATGTGCAAACAAGTGCGCACACAACCGCGGATGATTCATTTTCCACTCAAGTCAAGTCTGGGGTGTACGATATACAGCATCGTCTGCGATAATATGGTAAGTGTTGTTGTAATGATGTGCGATCTGACATGATCAAGTAGGCTATATCAGCAAATCACACACACAAAGTGCACGCATGTGATTTATTAGTCTATTAAAACTCAAAATTCCAGGCATTCTAAATTGTAGACGGCAAAAATGCTTCTGTACGCTTTTTATATTTAATCTAAACTTTAATCTAAACTTTAATCTATATCACACAAAGAGTACCGTTTTTCTGCAGATATCAGCATGAACACATTTAATAATAATTTTATACAAGTTCAGTAAAGCAATAAGCGACTTACATTTTAGACATAATATTGCTTGTTTTTGCTAAATTTTGCACACAGCACTGTTTTGCATCTCTGAGCAATGGGCGGTGTTTACTTATTGAATGAATCAGCTTTTTGAATGAATCGGTTGAATCTCAATGACTCATTAAAGGGATAGTTCACCCAAAAATGAAAATTAGCCTGTGTTTTACTTACCCTCAAGGCATCCTAGGCATGTCTGACATTCCTCTTTCAGATGAACACATTCGGAGTTATATTCAAAATTGTCCTGTCTGTTCCAATCTGTATAATTGCAGGGAATGGCACCCTTGTTTCTGAATCCGAAAAAAGTATATCCATCCATCATAAAACTACTCCACACAGCTCTGGGGTGTTATAGGGGTCATATGATGTTGCTAAAAATAACATTATTTTGTGTATTTGGTGTAATGAAATGTGTTTATGCGGTTTAAGGTTAAAAAAACACATTATTTTCCACATACTGTACATTATTGTTTCTCCTCTATGCCCCGCCTTTCTGAAACGCGTCGATTTTTACAAAGCTCATCGGTCTGAAAAGCAAGGTGTGCTGTGATTGGCCAGCTATCCAGTGCGTTGTGATTGGCTGAATACCTCAAGCGTGTGACGGAAATGGTATGCCCCTACCATATAAAGTTATGCCTTCTTTCTTTGCATGAACATTTGGGCGGCGTTATGCAAATCTTCCCAGATAGTGACGTAGACATGTGGGGGCGTGTTAGAACGAGCCGTTTTAGGTAGGTGTGGCTGACTCTTAACTTTTATAAAGAATATCTCTTTGGATTTGAGACTTAAGTCTTTGCAACTTTACAGATCTTCTTTATGCACCAAGAGCTTGTAACACTCCAAAGAGAAAGGAAAAATTCTCCACTCTCTCACTCTCTCCCAGAACTTACGTTGCACCTTTCGTTACGCCTACGTTAGTGATGCGCGGATGGTGGCTATATCCGCGGGCGTAATCCGCAGGTCGGGTAATAAAAAAATGCATTCTGACTATGTGCGGGTGGGTTGCAGGTGGATAAAATACATCATTAATGATGCAAATATCAACTACATTTTCTAAAATATGAACGTGTTTTAAATAGGCCACAGAAATTTAATAAACTGTAAATTAACATTAAAAGTTATTCAACAAAACATTATTTAGTCAAGAGCAGAAAGGGATTTTCTCTGTCTTTTGTTGTTTGATTAACATTAATGACAGAAGGCACAGCTTTATTAGGCTGCTGTCACAAGACCTATTTCACGGATCCAATACTGATACTCGTGCGTTTTATTTCGCAACTGTTTACATTAACTTAAGACAAAACTGACAGTGCTTTCTCAATTTGGTACTCGCAGCGCGCCCTTTGGATGTAACTGTGAGCACACAGAAAAGCGCCTCTGGAGAGCGCGAGTACCGAATGGCTTAAAAAGACGTGAAAATAATCAATTTTTGTGACGATGCAACAATGAGGCAATTGACAATTCTGTCAACTGTCCCGAAAAGCGAGCTAAAGTCTTATATTGCAGCGTGCAGCAGTTCTAGATGCGTCGATGTGAAGAGAAAGTCAAAGAGAGACGCGGTACCACTGAATCACTTACGCTGTTTTCATCTGATGGTTTGTGTGGATTTATTTACTCATCTAACCTACACGCTATATTGAATAAAATTTTTGCTGCAATTTCCCTCATTTTAAAGTCGAAAGCTGCGGGAATGAGTAATGCGATGTATGCGCAATCCCGCAACAAAATTCAGGACATGATTAAACATCATTCTATTATACAGAGAATTGTGAAATAGATTTTCATGACTTATCAAAAACTTTCTGGGTTTATTTATTTTACAAAACTTTCCAGACCTGAAATTGCAGTTCAATGACCGTACGAACCCTAATGTGATGATCTGGTGCGGTTATCTAAATCAGACAAAAATACAGGTGCGGGCGGTTGGAAGAAACAGAAACATTTCAGAATTCAGAAACAGGGGTACCGTTCACTGCAATTATACAGATTGGAACAGACAGAACAATTTCGAATATAACTCCTAATGTGTTCGTCTGAAAGAGGAATGTCAGACATGCCTAGGATGCCTTGAGGGTGAGTAATGCCGAGTTCACACTGCATGATATTAGCCCGATTTTTCACTCACCGACAGGTTTTGCGAAATCGCGACAAATGCCAGACATCGGAGGCAAATCGGTGCTCGTTCACGTGAGTGACAATCACGCAGTGTGAATTATCAAAGACGCGATCTGAGGGAATCGCCGACATGTCGCCGACGCCCGCGAAATATTTGGCATGCTAAATATCTGGAGCTGTCGGCGATTCACAATCACGCTGTGTGAAATGAGTTCTGACTGAAAAACACATCGGCGATGACCTACAGCCAATGAGAGAACAAGATACAGGGCAGAGGGAAGTTCGGGGAGGAGTTATAGACCAGAATATCAGTATTTTAATAGATATATGAACAATTATATCATACAGAAACAAACACAACCATTTGCTTTACCAGCCACAACATCAGCATAACAGTTACTGCAAAATTATTTACCTCCAACTCTCTTTGCAGAACACCCAATCCCTGTTCCCTGCATCTCCCTCCTGCATAATCTGTTTTTCTTTTTCTCCTTGTAGCTGGAAATCAGCTCACAGACAATTTGCGGGCTATATATATATTTTTTTTTATAATTACTGTCTTGCTTGTGAGAACTCCGGTCTGACGCACTCGGGTTCTCGCGTTATTTCCTTATCACTTCTCGCACGTGTTTTGTTGTGAAACGTAGTTTGCGGACCAGACAGAGCTGTCAGCGATTCTTCCTATTGTGAAGTCATGCAGTGTGAAACCCCCTGTCGCCGATTCATCGTGCAATGTGAACACAGCAGCGACTGAATGCTACCCCAGATAGTCATGCAGTGTGAAAACAACGGCGATCTGACGAGTTTGAAAATCGTGCAGTGTGAACTTGACATTAAACACAGGCTAATTTGCATTTTTGGGTGAACTATCCCTTTAACAGTCACTTGCTGTCACCTACTGGCTGTTTTAATTTCACATTTCAACTGTTTTAAATTATTTCAAATATCAGTATTCAACGTTTTATGTTAAAAACAAAACATTAGGCTTATTTATGCATCTGTAACTGCAGCTTAAATGCATCCATGTCCCCTCTGAGATACATAAACTGTGTAAATACATCTAAATGCTATTTATAGACTTCAACTTCTACCAAAGTAATTTTCTGGTAAGATATCTGTACTTTTACTTGAGTATGGCTTTCAGGTACTTTATACACCACTGCATGGGCTGGAGTGTTAGTCAAAAGTGTTAAGTAAACAAGGCAATACTATCATATACACATTATATTGCATAATTGCAAATAAATTCATTTCCAAACATTTATTATTATTTCACAGGGTTTCGTTTACATAGTATTGAATATGTGATGCTGTAAATTATGTGTTATATTTTCCCATCATTTCAAACATATTTAAAACACAAAAAAATCACTTACCAAAGGTTTGCAGTCCAAAACTCCACAACACAGTGTATCACTTACATTCACAAGGGAAAGCAAAGAAACTAAATAAAATGCTACATCAAAGTATTTATATTAACAATGTGCACCTTTTCATGGAAGTGAAAGAAAAGTCTGCAGTATGTGAAAGTCAGTCACCCACCCACACACACACACACACACACGGAGTCGAGGAACAGATGTTCAGAAATGGTGAGAAAATGGAGTAGTAATAGCTATTCTTGGATAAAGATTAGATACTGAAAAAAAGAGAAATGGATGAAATGAAAAGTGATGTCAAGGAGTGGATAGCACTGGGCTGTCGGGGCTATAACCCTAAATCAGCTTTAAAGAAAGAAAGTTACTCTCTCCAGCCTTACAGAAAGTCACATTTTATTGAAAAGAGTGTAGAAAGTAATTTAGTACATATCCCAGAAAGTTACCATATTACAAAAGCAGAAGACCATCAGAAAATCAAAGTAGCTACACTGAAAGTGCAGCACGGTAAACAGTTTGGCACAAAATACAATTTGCCAATGACTGAAAACTAAAACCATTAGTAGAAGAAGAGCAGTAACAAGTCTTTTCAGATGCTGTTTAGTGTAAATTACATTTCATTAAATATCACAATAACTTCTTCAGATATCACACAACATGCCTGTGAACCTCTTCAAGTGCTTTTTGCATCAGTATATCACAGAGACAGATTTTGACTGAGTTTCCTTTTGTGGTCTGAAGGGAAAGCACCAAGCTAATGCCTCAATATGACAATCACAACGCTGATATCTATGAAAGAAATGCTAAAATCAATTTAATAAAATGTAATAAAAGCTGGTTATGATTTACAGAGAGGAGGTGATATCACAGAGAAAGATGTTGGATAATCCATCCGATTCTGCGTCGACTTTGGACAAAGAGTGATTATTGCCTGGGTACCACAACAATCTGTGGACACACGGATACACTAATGAACCGATGATCCAGAGCAGAGAAATGTTTCATAGAAGAATCCCCATCTATAAAGTGTGAGTGTCACTGTACTTACCTCACTGGTACTTGCAATGCCTTCAGGGCTCTGTAGTATTCAATACCCTGCTTGCTGGGAACAAGCTTGTCATCTTCCCCAAACATCAGAAGTACTGGGGTTTTTACCTGAGGAACAAGCACAACCATGTGTGTTACAAGCTGAGCAGTTAAGAAATTAAACATAAAAGAATAAATAATGCACCGGAACAGCATCTGCTCACTTTGCTGACGTGTTTGATGGGTGACTTGTTTAACATCTGTTCCAGAATAGCAGGTTCAAGATGAATATCTGTGTTATATTCATATCCAGCTTCCACCATACACCTGAACACAAACACACTCAAAGCCATTAGCTATCACAAATGTCTACAGGTGAATATCATAATACATGAATCATATTTTACCAACATATCAAAAGAAAGAAGTTACATATTAATAAATATTTTGCAGATTTTTTGCATATTACATCAAGCACACCCCTCAAAAATGTATTGTATTGAAAAAATAAAAGTATTTATACATCATGCTGTTTTCTCTTTAATTTATGCTTAAAAAAATGGATTACACTTTATTTTGATAGTCCACTTTAGACATTCTACTAACTATAAGTAACTTTGCAACTTCACGTCTACTAACTCTCAGACTGCGTTTACACTGCAAGTCTTAATGCACAGATCCGATCTTTTGACCATATCCGATTTTTTGGCACGTCTGTTTACATTCACTTTAGACACGACTGGTATCCGATATCTGTGTTTACATTAATTCCCACCCAAAAGGATTGTCTGCAGTGATCGCTTTACTATGCACATGATAGACCCTCGGGTTTTAAATGGCTGTGCTTTTAAAATTATTTATATAATTCACGTCGAATGGCCATTATTATTTGCCAGCATGGACAACGGCTGTCATGGATGTTTTGCAGCACAAAATCTGACTGAACGGATAAAGACCGGAAAATAACGGTAATTTTAATTTGTTAGACTATTTTATCTACAGCTCGTTAGAGGTAGAATTCTATAGTGAAATAAAGATATTTATTGAAATGAATTCGAAGGAGAGAGGAAGAACGAACAAACGAACGCATGCACCCACGTGCGAGCGAGCGATTGTGAAGCATTGCAAACAAGCTTGTCGGTTTAATTACAAAAACTGCTAAGTTATCACCTCATTGCTGAGAAATATATGTAGCTTTTAGCTGTTGTATTTTCAAAATTCACGGGGCGGGGGTTGAAAACCAGCTCCTGAATGTGCAATTTCTTACCTATAAAAAGTTTCCATCTCAATAAAATGCGAGCGCATACAGCACGCCGGCATTAAAACATCATTAAAAATCTTTATGAGCAAATGTGTCGCCCTCGCATTGGGAGTTGTCGGATATGTGTGTTTAGATGTAGGTCTGATGTCCAGATATCAGATGTGTACCCGATTAAAATCCACATTTGAAAGTGGCTCCGAGCGAAAGATCAGATTTTTTGTGCCAGTGTAAACGCAGCCTCAGAGTAGACTGTTAGGTTAGGTTTAGTAGAATAAGTTGATATATATACTTGGACAGGTTATTGCTGACAGGATACCTACCACATTCAGTAAGGCAAATGCCAAAAATATCATTATATTATCTGTCAGAAACATTATCAACGCTGTCAAAAACAGTAGCGTTTCACACTAGTACACACAGATCTGTAGAACAAGTAGGTTAGAGAATTAAATAAAATAGCCTACACAAACATTAGCCATGAAGAAGTCTATGCTATTTTATTCAGTATAGTAGTTACATTTTCACAAGGTCATGCTAAAAACATTCATAAGAGCACTAGACAACGTTATCATCTATATATCAATGATTATTGATAACTATAACAGTAATATGTATGATGAAATTATCCACCCCTAACCCATAGTAAAATATTAACAAATTTTGATGCAATAAATATGGTATAATTTAACAGTGTTCATCCCTCCAAAACATTTTAACAAACATCTACATGTCTCTCTTTTACAGTTTTTTTCGATTGCTTAAACACATTTCTTGAAACTATGCCACACAACCAATGTATACATTGGCACATTTTTATTCATTCATGTACTACACAGCACAACTGTAAAAAAGAACGAAAAAAAAAAATAATCCGCCTCAGCATCCCGTCTTTGTTCTGAGTCAGGCCAGAGAATCTCATCCACATCACAGGCTATATTGGCCCTAGCCAGGCAGCGAGGGTAAAATCCTCTTGCATGCCTGATCCACCCCTGGCATGCATCTACTGATATGTCTAGGCAGGCTTCTTCCATGGCCTGGAGGAGGTGAACACGGATATAAGGTTCTCGGGTAATACACTTACGCCGAAAAAAACTCCTCTATCGGGTTTAGAAAGGGAGAGTATGCAGGCAGAAAGATGTTAGAAAACCTTGGGTTATTGGTAAACCAGTCACGAACCAGAGCAGCACGATGGAAGCTGAAATGATCCCAAACAACAATGTAACGAGGCTGCTCTGGCTGTGCTGGTTCCCTGAGGTCCAGCTGGAACATACGCTCTCTTAGACCGTCAAGGAAAGCAAGGCGGAGCATAGTGTTATAGGGTCCTAGAATGGCATGATGGTGGAGTACCCCTCATTGGCTGATGGCTGCACACATAGTGACATTCCCTCCGCACTGACCAGGGACATTTACAATAGCCCGATGCCCAATTATGCCCCCCCCCTCCAATTTCGCTACCTATATGCTACCATATCATAAATTTCTCTGTTCACGTTCCACTTCATCTGCCAGTGAATTCAACGATCTTATCAGATCTCCAGCCGCCATGTTTCAAACGATCCAAACGTAACACGCTTCCGCCAATCCCTGCCTTGAAGCAATGATTGACGGAGGGTGGGCGTGGTCAGCTCCAAATGCATTTTCAAAGCCGCACTGAATTTTGCTACAAATATCCCACAGCGTCATGATGAAAATGCAATCCTAAGTGTTCTAACTGTTAGTCTAAATGCATTTAGGACAAATAGCATTTAAATGATTATTTTGCTATCATTTTTGCTTGGACATGTTACACATATCAAATCAATTTGTGTTATACATTTTCATTTCGCAACTTATAAAGCATTCAAATTTGCATGCAATTTACATATTAAGACTACTGTTGAAAATGGCAAGTGTAAATTATATAATTGAATTTTCATTTTCCTTTTGCAACAAACTTTGCTCGTATGGGTAATGGAAAATGTAAATTTAAATACAGAAATGCATTGCCATTTTGAATATTGCATTGCCATTTTGCATATTGCATTTTAAATTGAATTTCGCTACCTATATGCTTCCATACACGTGGAGTGAGCAAGAGAATTGTTTCAGTGCAGAGCGGATCACAGAGGGAGCATGTGTCAAGCTTTTATGGACATTTTTTGTTGTAATAAGGTCATATTTTTAAACTGAGTGAAATGCCCCCAACTCCCTTGTCTCCAATGAGATGTTAATGTTCAGTCGTCTCTGTTGTGAGCATCATCTACACACCCAGATTCTGAGCCTTTTCCAAAAAAAAAAAAAACACACAACAAACCAAATACCAATTTTCAGATCCAACAGATCTTCTCAAAACAAAAACAAAACACTTCTTATAATGTCTTGAAAAGAAAACTAGTCATACACCTGGAAACATCTAAAGATTAAATATCAGCATTGGAGTGTGTGTGTGTGTTTTCCCACAAAATATATGTTATTATTAATTTCAAGTGAAATGTGTTATCACTGTATAAAAGCCAAATCATGTGTCTGATGGACAGACTTGAGTGTGTAGGGTAAACACTGTAACTGTTCCTCACCAAGCAGGACGCTGAAGCCCATCTTACATGGAACTGCTGTGGACAAGAACCACTCTGACACCAGCACTGAATGAGGGCTGCCTGACAGACACACAGTGCCAAAACAGAGATCAGCAAAACAAGATACTGACGTTGTATGTATTTATTATATCGTTTTACATTGTTATTAAGGATACTAAAGAACAGACCGTGTGCCATGACAATGAGAGGTAGTTTGCTTCCTGCTGTCA